GGTGTACATAATGGTTTACATAAATCTGTTTGTAGAATTGAATTGTAAAATTCCCTACATTTTCATTTAAAGTAGGGGAGAGGGGGGCACCTTTGAACACTTTTTGCTTTCAAGCCTTATAACATTTTTTATTTTATAATTTTTGGTTTCTTATAAATTTTAACTAATAGGTACATATGTAACCTTTAAAATGAGTATACATATGACATACTATAAGCTTGATAAATATATTTTATTACTGTTTTAATGGACGAACTCAAAGTGTTCAAAACTGCCCCCCAGGGGGGCAGCTTTGAACAGGAGTTGGCATTTTTGAACGACATGGTTTTTTACAGTGTTTATGTTCAAATATGTATGTATTTTATTCATACATATCAGAAATACATTAATTCATTAAAAAAATATATAAAAAATGTTCAAAATTTAAAAAAATTAGATCAAAAGTTATTAAAACATAAAATGACTTAAAAACAAAAATTAATATGGTGAAAAATACAGTTAATTTCGTAATCATATTAGCCCATTTGAAATTTTGAGAAATCGTAGCCAAAAGTTAAAAACTCCTTTTTTTACTCGAGTTTAATGGGCATGTTCAAAGGTGCCCCACCCATGGCATTTTACGGAAATTTAAAATAACTTTTTTTTGTAATAAATATATATGAAAGAAATTACATTAGTTATGTTTGAAATGATTGTTGGAATGCAAAAAATTTGTTTGACGAAAGAAAACTATCACAGAATTCTTCCTGCGCCCTTAGAACCAAATGAATAAAAGTTTACAATTACACTCAGAAAACATGGTCAACCATGCACAATTTTTCGACAACTGAAAAAGCAAGCCAAAGTGGTTTACGCATATAGAGAACAATATTGCCATATACAACCAGTGAGCGGAGCAGTATAGTCGGACGGGGCCGACCATGCGATACCCTACACAACTACCACGAACTCTAACTTTCTGAGGATGTTTATTCCGAGTCTGAGTAATATTTCGTGATATTTGCCCCCTCTTGTCCGATTAGAGGTTAACAACACCTCTTCCTTACTTTTTTCGAATATTCAGTACAATCCTTCTATTTACTTGTCCAGATTACCTTCACGGTAGGTTGTGTTGAGATTTTCGGATTATACTCTACTCGAAAACACACAAAAAATTATGTTTTCGGTCCATTTCATCCCAAAATTTTAATCTGATCATCACCGAAAATTGTAGGCGTTGTTCTTGACCATAACTGGAACTTCATGAACAATTTCAAAGCCATCAGCGTGATTTTTCTCCCTCTAATGTGGTAATGGGTTACTAAATAATATCTGAATACGTAAGCACCTGTAAATATTTGACTGTAACTCCCACATCTGAGTAGATACATCACTATATTTGGTATCAATTTAAAGGAAAACCATTCCTCTTGGATATGCTATCAACTCCTGGGGTCTACATCCTCCAGGAGTAAATATATATGCCATAGAATACAAATTTTGTCATTTTTCACACAAAAGTCAGGGTCCATTTGACCCGCTAAATATTGACCGATCTTTATCAAAACATGCATGCTTATTCTCTGGCCCGATCCCCTTCTCCATGCAAAAATTCGCGGTGTTTGGGTCATAATTGCGGCCTCTGGAGCGACCAGAAAAACCGACAAAAATAATGTTTTTGGTCCATTTCATCCCCTGAATATTAACCGATCTTTTCCAAAAACAATAGGGATCTTCATTGGCCAGAACCCATCCTACATGCAAAATTTCGTGAAGTTTGGTCCATAACTGTGGCCTGTATCGTGTTTACAAATTATAATGGACAGACGGACGGACGGACGGACGGACGGACACACATGTCTAGATCGACTCAGCTAGTCGAGATATGACGATCGGTATACTTAAAGGTGGGTCTAGGACCAATATTTCGCGGCGTTACAAACATTTGGGGCTGCACAAAGCTATAATACCCTGACAACATAGTTGTGTAGGGTATAAAAATGTGGTTGCGGGTCGGAAAAATATTAAACCAAGATTTTATGAGCGCTGTTCAAAGCTACCCCACGTTCAAAGTTGCCCCCCTCTCCCCTACTTTTAAGTATACCTATGGTGGATGGCATCCAAAGTTTGGCCTTGCCGAACTTAATGCTCTTTTCAGTTGTATATATTAAAATAGTTAACTGATTGGTTTCCGCGTTTTTAGTTTGTTCCCATATAGTCGTATTCCACCATATTAAGGGGGAAATTCTGCACTCGAAAGTGTAAAATTTTAAGATGATTTTGCCGATTTATCCATCTGTAGTAATTATTCGTCCTTCGGAGGATATCGAGATAAAAAAAAATAGAGCGTCAGGATAGAGAGGGAAATATATCGGCCCCCATTTAGGCCTATCCCCTCATTTAATGATACCTACCCATATAGGTATTATTAATATTTTGCGTGAGGGAATGTACTGTGATGCAAAAATTTTAGTTTCGAAATTGAGCTATATCGGTCCTCAATTAGGCATAGTTCCTCATATTCCAATGAAAATGTCCATACCCCGAAATAAAATCCTGTGTATGTTGGCGATGGCTTCATATAACATTGCCCTCTAAATTGCAGTAGTTGCAGGATTTTATACACATGTTTCACTCTACCATGCTTTAGCAATATCGGTCCAGGTTTTTGGGTTTTCAGAATTTAGGAAAAATCCCCATTAAAAATTGGTGAAATTTGTGTTTTTTGTACATAATGGTTTCATAAATCGGTTTGTAGAATTGTCTGTATAGGTCCACGTTTTGGTATGTTCCCTATAATTTTATTTCGAGTACCTTTCAGTGTACCTTTGGTGGAGGGTATCCAAACTTTGCCCCGGACTAATTTTACGTTTTTCTCACTTGTTTGTATTACCCATTTCGAACTCAACGTACCAAATTACCCCCTTTGCGGTGGGGGTATTCAAATCTTCTGGGTATTCAAATCTTCTGGGTATACAATTTGCGGTGTAGACCTACACATAAGTGTTCCGACGGATTTAAGTATATTAAATATACATCTGGCGGGGTAGGATATGAAAAATTCGACAAGATAAAATAACGATATTTCCCGTTTTGTTAATATTGTTCCGTTTAAGAAAAGAATATGCTCATCTACATTTGTATTCATTCATTATTTGTGATTGATTTTTTAGCGAATATCAAAGGACCTCAGTGGTAAAACAAATACAAAATAATGGGTATGTATGTATGTAAACCGCATGCAGTGGTTTATTGATATAGCACGAGTATATAAATGGTATTTATTTTGCATAATTTGCATGATGAATTATTAACTAAAATTGTTGGAAAAACGATAGTAAATATATTAATTTTCTTAAATGTCAATTACTGCTATGAGTTTTTTCATTCTTATGTTTTCTGTATAATCTTCCACAATCTTTCATTTATAATTATAACTTTAAAAATTTAACATATGTTAATTAGAAATATTTCCCAGGGATTGTTTTAATTGACATTCTTTCACTGTACATATTACATTTCCAATAAAAAATTCAAAAATCAAATTATTATTATTAACCAGTGAGCGGAGCAGTATAGTCGGACGGGGCCGACCATGCGATACCCTACACAACTACCACGAACTCTAACTTTCTGAGGATGTTTATTCCGAGTCTGAGTAATATTTCGTGATATTTGCCCCCTCTTGTCCGATTAGAGGTTAACAACACCTCTTCCTTACTTTTTTCGAATATTCAGTACAATCCTTCTATTTACTTGTCCAGATTACCTTCACGGTAGGTTGTGTTGAGATTTTCGGATTATACTCTACTCGAAAACACACAAAAAATTATGTTTTCGGTCCATTTCATCCCAAAATTTTAATCTGATCATCACCGAAAATTGTAGGCGTTGTTCTTGACCATAACTGGAACTTCATGAACAATTTCAAAGCCATCAGCGTGATTTTTCTCCCTCTAATGTGGTAATGGGTTACTAAATAATATCTGAATACGTAAGCACCTGTAAATATTTGACTGTAACTCCCACATCTGAGTAGATACATCACTATATTTGGTATCAATTTAAAGGAAAACCATTCCTCTTGGATATGCTATCAACTCCTGGGGTCTACATCCTCCAGGAGTAAATATATATGCCATAGAATACAAATTTTGTCATTTTTCACACAAAAGTCAGGGTCCATTTGACCCGCTAAATATTGACCGATCTTTATCAAAACATGCATGCTTATTCTCTGGCCCGATCCCCTTCTCCATGCAAAAATTCGCGGTGTTTGGGCCATAATTGCGGCCTCTGGAGCGACCAGAAAAACCGACAAAAATAATGTTTTTGGTCCATTTCATCCCCTGAATATTAACCGATCTTTTCCAAAAACAATAGGGATCTTCATTGGCCAGAACCCATCCTACATGCAAAATTTCGTGAAGTTTGGTCCATAACTGTGGCCTGTATCGTGTTTACAAATTATAATGGACAGACGGACGGACGGACGGACGGACGGACACACATGTCTAGATCGACTCAGCTAGTCGAGATATGACGATCGGTATACTTAAAGGTGGGTCTAGGACCAATATTTCGCGGCGTTACAAACATTTGGGGCTGCACAAAGCTATAATACCCTGACAACATAGTTGTGTAGGGTATAAAAATGATGTTACATTTGTCGAGCAATATGTTATTCGAAAATTAAATTACAAAAATTAAATATTATCTAATAATTGTATTTATCATTAATTATGTTTCATTATCATGTTTCCATAAATTCTGACGGAAATATTTGGCCATTACATATTCCATGTTTGGCCTGTTTTTCAAATGCCCTCCATTATATGTGTTGCTATTATTGTGGCTTATTGGTTTAATAAAAAATATGTTATTTTTTTTGTTATTTTTCATTACAATGCTAACAACAAAAACAACGACGATGACGACGAAATCATCTGGAACACCAAATTGTCATTCGGAACACACCCAACCACCCACGATTACTACTGAACCACACTATGCAACTGTAGAGTCAACTTTTTAAAGTATCAAAAGCCCGAAAAGAAAATCGACTTAAATAGAAGTGAAGTGTACAAAGTAGTACATCATTTGGACCGACAGCCAGTGCGCGGAATTGAAGTGCGGGCACCCGTTGTACCATCAGAAGCAGATATCCGAAAGGCAGCACAGTCTTCCTAGGAAGTTCTGTCCATTACAACATCAAATAAACATCTGCACATCTACATCCATACATACATACATACAATCGAGCAGGCACATATAAACGTGCACATTCAATATATACGCTAGGGCGTAACATATATATGTATACAAATATATATACAACACACTTTGTGTGCAATTGAGAATAAATGTGTAGCAACTCCCAGTTAAAATAGTTCACCAAAAGTGAGCGTATTTCTTCTTGTAACCAAGATTGCATACAAATATACTTCTGCATATCTGTGTGCCACAATCAGGTAGAGTACAACATATGTGTGTATGTGAGAGTGTACTATATACTTAAACATGAGCAAACGTTTGTATGTACATTAGATCAATTGCCTGGTAAGGCATTATGCGGTTAGAGGCACAAATACAAACTTGGCATGGATATATGGATGGATGTTTGGTCGTACGGTCTTGTACATGGAGATGGACGTTCAACTGGATGGATGGATGGACGGACGGATTGAATTCGAATCTAACCCAAAAGCAGAGCCACAATTGCAAAGACTTTTATGGAGTACATACATACTTGCATACACATTCATATCAAACATCAAACATCGCAAGGAAAACACCACTGGATTTGTGTCGTCATACTCGTGCAATAAGTTCTTCTTATGTTCATTTTTATATTTTATCCTTTACCAAAATCGATTCGGTTCTTTTGTGCAAATTCGTATACCTACCTCCCTCCACAAAAAAAACAAAGATACAAATGCTGAGCTCTCCCTTTCTTCTTCTTCTTCTGCCACTTCAAATGTCAAGCTATTTGAAACATTTTTAAATATAAGTTTGTCAAAAATAAAGCAGCATAAAACAACTACAACAACCACAGACATATCTTTACTTACTTTATCTTGGTATGTATGCATGAAGTGTAGTGTAGTAGTACTTGGAAATTAAATGGCTTTAGCATTATGAGAATAACTACTTTGTATATGTACACGGCTGCCATTCGGAAACGAGGCTACCAAAGCTCACCGAGGATTTTTGGCTACCACGAACATTTTAATACATCACATTGTTGACAGGGTTCAATTGGCTTTAACATTATGAAAATAACTACCAACATTTCCGTGTACGTACATACTTATATATTCTGCCATACGCTAAAGTTTTCCACCTCGCAGATTATTGTGGCTACCACAAACATTTTAATACATCACATTGTTGACAGGGCTCAATTGACTGTTACAGATGAATAAAAATTTATGGGGAAACACTGGCTTGAAGTGACGTAAAGAACATTGAATGACTATGGAATATACTGTTAGTAGATTGGATAAATTTTATTCTCTTTCAAATGTTATGGCTCAATAGGGGTAAGTCAGGCAGGAGAGGGCCAAATTCGTAAGAGGTCGACATTACTTTGGGTATATTACAGAGCTGTTCATAGAATTCATAGTAAAAGCCAAAAATGTCGATCACATTATATATGGCATATCAACTATATATAGCTGTAATTAAAGGTATCGCCACCAATTTGATTGGATTTCAAAAATTCTACAATTTATTATACCATCGATGATTGGCATTCCGTTTGCAACAAATGAATTCAAAAGATACATCATCAATACTTGATATAGAGGAAAAACTTAAAAACAAAATACGGCGTGCATTTGATTTTATAATTTCTGGAAAGATTTTTTCTCCCAGAATCCGATATGAGAAACTATTGTCACTTCTATGAGAAAATCCGATTAACAAAATAATACTAACAAGTTCAAATGATGTTAAGTTCGCCCACCATGAGGATGACAATCAAAATATGTAAAATAATAATACGTGAGAGAAATATGATTAACTAATAGGGAGGCTGACGTTTTATGGAGCTATACATACCAAAACCAGTGAGCGGAGCAGTATAGTCGGACGGGGCCGACCATACGATACCCTACACAACTACCACGAACTCTAACTTTCTGAGGATGTTTATTCCGAGTCGGAGTAATATTTGGTGATATTTGCCCCCTCTTGTCCGATTAGAGGTTAACAACACCTCTTCCTTACTTTTTTCGAATATTCAGTACAGTCCTTCTAATTACTTGTCCAGATTACCTTCACGGTGGGTTGTGTTGTGATTTTCGGATTATACTCTACTTGAAAACACACAAAAAATTATGTTTTCGGTCCACTTCATCCCAAAATGTTAATCTGATCTCAAAGCCATCAGCGCGATATTTCTCCCTCTAATGTGGTAATGGGTTACTAAATAATATCTGAATACGTAAGCACCTGTAAATATTTGACTGTAACTCCCACATCTGAGTAGATACATCACTATATTTGGTATCAATTTAAACGCCAACCACTCCTCTTGGATATGCTATCAACTCCTGGGGTCTACATCCTCCAGGAGTAAATATATATGCCATAGAATACAAATTTTGTCATTTTTCACACAAAAGTCAGGGTCCATTTGACCCGCTAAATATTGACCGATCTTTATCAAAACATGCATGCTTATTCTCTGGCCAGATCCCCTTCTCCATGCAAAAATTCGCGGTGTTTGGGCCATAATTGTGGCCTGTGGAGCGACCAGAAAAACCGACAAAAATTTAGTATTTGGTCCATTTCATCCCCTAAATATTAACTGATCTTTTCCAAAAACAATAGGGGTCTTCATTGGCCAGAACCCATCCTACATGCAAAATTTCGTGAAGATTGGTCCATAACTGTGGCCTGTATCGTGTTTACAAATTATAATGGACAGACGGACGGACGGACGGACGGACACACATGTCTAGATCGACTCAGCTAGTCGAGATATGACGATCGGTATACTTAAAGGTGGGTCTAGGACCAATATTTCGCGGCGTTACAAACATTTGGGGCTGCACAAAGCTATAATACCCTGACAACATAGTTGTGTAGGGTATAAAGAGTATCAATATCGATATTTTGACAGCCAATTCGGTAAAAAACCAAATAACAGCCATTTCGGTCTGAAAAAGTGTTCGAAATCCCCAAAATACCGAATATTGGTTGGGGGTAACTTTAACATTAATAATTTTTGGTACGGAGATGTGTTTGACAATGTCAGCCCACAAAAAAAAAACAGTAAGGAAAGTAGTAAAGTCGGACGGGGCCGACTATATGATACCCTTCACCACTATGGGTATATTAAAAACAGGACTATTAACATGAAATTGGATGAAATAAAATATGTCGACGCCTCCGAACCATAGTATGCTAAGTCTGAAAAGTGAGTTTTTCTGTAGAAGCTTTCAAAGTATGGAAGTTTCTTTAATCGTACGTGCCATGCTAAGTAAATTTTTGCTTATAACTTTGGTTTGGATTGGCCGATGATTACCAAAATTTCAGAGAAATTAAGGACCGTAGTATCTAAAAACGTAAAGAACTTTAAAACATGCCAAGTCGACTTAGCATACTATGGTTCGGAGGCGTCGATGTGATATTTATTTAAATGTGAATCTAACTAGATCTATACATAAAGTATGTAAATCGACTTCAAACAAGTATAAATAGGTCATATATCTAAATCTAGAAAACGCAACTACGTAATTCTATGCTCAATTTTGTAAGTTGTGCAAAATTTTGTCAATCTGACTTACATGAGGAGTTTGATGCCCAATTTACTTGAAATCTGGCGAAAATATATATGGAAGCTCTATCCAAATATTAAGCGATTTCAAACAAACTTGTCGCAGGTTAGGTTATACTAATTTCAGAACGTTTTGTTTATATTGGTTCCTTGGTGCGCCAATTACTTAAAACCAATCTATAATAAAAGGGAGCTATATCTAAATCAGGACCGATATATAGACATCACTTTGGTGTACCATTTACATGAAATCGGACGAAACTATATATGGGAGCTATACCTAAATCTGGACCGATTTTCAGGAAACATCGCAGACGTCACTCTAGGCTTAATTCAATACGTCATGCCAAATTTCGTGCAAATCGAAAGATATATAGGGACTTTGGTGCACCATTTTCATAAAATCGGATGAAACTATATATGGGAGCTATATCTAAATCTGAACCGATTTTCATGAAACTTAGCAGACGTCTCTCTAGGTTCAATTCAGTATGCTACGCCAAATTTAGTGCAAATCGAAAGATATATAGAGCCTTTGGTGCACCATTTACATCAAATCGGACGAAACTATATATAGGAGCTATATCTAAATCTGGGCCGATTTTACGAAACTTGGCAAACATCACTCTAGGCTCAATTCAGTACGTCATGCCAAATTTGGTGCAAATCATATCTTTCGATTGGACTTTGTTGCATCATTTACATAAAGTCGGACAAAACTATATATGGGAGCTATATCAAAATCTGAACCGATTTTACCGAAACTCACCACTCATCATTCTAGACTCAATTCAGTACGCTGTGTCAAATTTCGTGCAAATCGAAAGATATATAGGGTCTTTGGTGCACCATTTACCTTAAATCGGACGAAAATATATATGGGAGCTATATCTAAATCTGAACCGATTTTTCCAATTTCAATAGGGTTCGTTCTTGGGCCAAATAAATGAGCTGTGCCAAATTTCATGCAATTCGAATCAAAATGCGACCTGTACTTTGTTTAGAATTTAACAGGGACAGACGGACGGACAGACGGACATGCATAAATCGACTCAGAAAGTGATTGTATGCATATTCTAAAAAGGAACCATGGGTCTATCTCGATTATTTTTGCCTGTTACAAACATATGCACAAAGACATAATACCCTGTACCACAGTGTGGTGAAGGGTATAAAAATCAAATCACAGCCAATTCGGTTGGGAAACGTGAACAAAATCCCGGAAATACCGAATATTGGGGGTATCTTTAAATGGTGTCTACCTTGAAACTTTGGTCAATATTAACCCTTTCAGTGTTTTTGTCAAATATATTCGACATTTAACAATTCTCTCTTTCTTTGCGATTTTTCGGTTATGCTATGTATCGTTAACATTGATGTTTTTGTTTTTGCCGAAAACAGTTGAAACTGTCCAAGGATTAAAATGAAAACTGCTTTTTTTCTAAATTTTATGCTTTTATATGAT